TTACATGGTTTATTGCAATTTGTACATTTGCGCCATTTATGATAACACTAACACTCAAAATAATTAATTGGTTTGAGTAGAACCAACTTAAATTAAACAAATTAGTTCAAACAAATCAACTTTTATGAGTATTTTTTTGAGTTCACAAAACTGACACATTTTAAGTAATCTAAATTGTTTCATTGTTTTCAGTTTTATGAACTTGATTCTTTTAATTTAGACTAACGTTAATTTAACTGAAACTGGGCTGGGATTTCTATTTCACAGCATGCTTTGCCACGACACTCAAAGGGAGAGTATAATGCTAAAAATAAATGTTATATAATTTTCTGCTTACTTAAACTTTGAATTTCTTAACTTAAAAAAAAATGATAGAACTGATTGCCTCAATTTTTTGAGTTTTGCCAACTTATTCGGGTTTACAGTGTACTTGTTATTGTAGTATAATGGTTTTCTTGGCTATAAAGTCAATATTTTGAAATGGTAACGCACACGATTATCGCAAAAGCCCCGGTTTTAGCTTGATGTTTCCACTCATCCCTGTGATGTAAACCCCGAACAGATATTTAAATAACGTCAGCATGTGAAGCAGCAAAAAGAAGGATAGCACTGTCACCAGAGTGGAAGCACTACATGAGACAAGGGCAGCTGCCAGCATCATAACTTCACAGGGCATTAATTGTTTCACCGCTGTCAGCAGGACTGTCTCTGCTCGTTGAACCCTGGCCAAGGAGCGGCCCATCAGCCAAATTGAAGTCCAGTAGGTATATAAGTAAGAGTTCCAGGGAATTATGTTTTCGCATTACAGACCCAGGTGTCAAGCTCAATTTCATGAAAAAGTGCTGAGGCCAGGTACAACTCTCGAAATGTGCAACTGACAATTATACCTACTTACAGAATGACAGCTTGCTCAACAACTGATCAGAGAACGTTTTTAGTGTTCATAAAAAAAAGTATGCAAATTGATAAAGATTTAGTTTTTGCTTGCTGTGAAAAAAAAAAAAAAAAAAAAAAACTGCCAAAAATACTTCCATGGATTTATATTGAAGGCGTAATAATGTAAATAGACTTGCAGATGGGCTCTTTTGAGTTGGGCCTGTAAGAAAACACATAGCAACCATCCAGGGGTGTGTTTCCCAAAGCCAACTATGGTCGCAAGTTCCGTCGTTACCAATAGAGTTCAATGGAAATTGCAATCATAGGCCAAGAATACTTAAGCAACAGAATAGCACCCTATCAGTGATGCGAACCACCAAAACCCACAAAAACTATACAGACTTTTCTCCTGCCATGACCTCTTTCTGAACTGTTGTTAAAGACTGCAGCTGTCTGGCCTCGGTTTCTAGGCAATTGTACAATTGCTGAGACTCAGTGCACAGGGATAAGCTGTTCTCTTTAAAGACAGGGAGGAAATGTTGGAAACACAAGCCTCTTTCATTCTTAGCAACTATACATTTCTCTCAATCAGGCATTCACATATTATGTAATGTATATTGTGTAAAATACATATATGGTCAGCTTCTCAGTAATTGTCTTTGCTCAATCAGTTCACTTAGCCTGGAGAGGTTAAATGCTTCTGTTAACTGGCTTGTTAGTTTGAAGGGGACACTTGATGGACAGAAATTGCAGGGTTGTGCTAATGATGAAGCAGGAAATAGCAGTGCCACTCAAACGTTTCCTTTGTAATGAGGACAACCACAGACAATCAGATTCAAGTCCATGTGAAAACCCATAATAATTGATTAGACGGTCATTGTGGAATTCATGACAGCAATGTCAATCAAACCCAGGGCCTTGAGGTCAGACTATGTCAAATTGAAAGCTATCTGAAATAATTATTGACATATTTATTTAGATAAAACATAAGGAAAACAAGGGATGACTTATAAGCAGGACTACATCATTGTGGTGTTTGTAGTCCTTATTTAGTTACTTAAAGATACACTATGTAACTTGGCACTCTATAGGTTAATAAACAAAACTGCATGCGTCCTGTGGAAGAATATTGTAGCCAGAGCTTATGTACAGACGAGTCACGCGGGTGAGCTACTCCGCAGCGGTTGGGATCCCACTCTGTCTAAAATAGTCTGAATCAGAGCCATAGAGAGAAAGAGTTGCGACACTCTTTGATGTCGCCGCGATGGCTGTCACGTGGTTCATGTAAGCCCCAATAGTTCCAAAACATACGCTGGCTGTCATGTTCTTCTATGGGACAGACAGCAGCGATTGCATTATTGAACGGTAAATATAAAATAAAACACACACCCAAGTACTTTTTCAGCTGTTACTGCATTATTGCATTTTGCTAATGTCAGTTTTGCATTTGGAGAGGCAGGGTGACAACAAAATACTATATTACTTAGATAAGTTTTAAGCTTTTTTTTGGAGGGAAAAGCTTAGTGTTCATGTTCGCATGGGTAGTAGCACTGGCTTTAGCGGCTTTCATCTGATGATGGACGTCTCATGATATTTATTTTAGCACAACTGGGCTGTATTAGGCTATTGATTCCCGTGATCTTGCTTATAAATTCCGATTCAGCCATTAGCCTACCTTCGTGATCACGCAAAGAGGTCTGCAGTCCGTTCAGAACTCCAACCAACATAAAATATAAATAATTGCATGTACAAATGAACGATTTAGGAGGGAAATGGACTGCTCCCATAATGTAGAAAGCAACGACTATATTTGCAGCAATGTTTGGTAAATATTAACTTCATAAAATGAAACCGGAGAGATAGTTAATGAGTGAATTAACTATGTTCCTAAATACGATCCATAACGTGTATGTTTTTAACATACGATCCATAACTGTAAACGGGATTCATTTCAGTATGGCTAATGTACCTCTTCATCCTACCCTAATCATAAACCATTCATCAGAAAACACACACAAATACATGTATACGATGTACTGTGTACAGTACACGTGTATATATATTTAAATCACACATAACTAACCCTAACCCATACACATAATATATTAATTGTGTATGTATATATACTATATATATATGCATGTATATATGTATGTATATACAGTATACAGTATATACTATATATATCCATGTATGTATGCATATATACACACATAACCCTAACCCATTTAAATAAATGAATTGTGTGTGTGTGTGTGTATATATATAATATTATATATATATATATATATATATAAATATTATTATTAATAATATTATATACATCAGGTTACCGTAAGTTAGCTAACGTTAGTGAAGTGTTGGTCACGTAAGCTATAGCTGCAATTAACCTATTATCTTCCAATAAACATTTACTAAAACTGGCTACATAAAATATAACTACAGACTAGATTCACGAGAGGTCGGCTAATGTGTGTAAAAGTAAAAAAAAATACAGTAATTTCATTAATTTACCAGCGAGCGTACTTCGGAAACACTGAAAATGAATGGGGTTCAATGCTGGAACTATCAGTGTTTGGAACTATTGGCCGCTCCACGACACGCGTTACTTCCACATTCCAAAGTTCCTATGGCGGTCTATGGGAGTGTCGCAACTCTTTCTCTCTATGGCTCTGGTCTGAATATAAACACTTATCATAGCTGTACTTTAGTGATTCAGGGTAGGACAAAAACATGGTTTGGAAGATTGATTCATGATGTACTCGCTCATTATATCAATTTGGTACATTTTGAACAAAAAACTTTGAAAAAATAAATAAATAAATAAATAAAAATTCTCAAGCCGTTTCACTTAGAGAAGAAAAGACTATCGCAACATCCATTTCATGTCAACTTTAAGTATGTCAATTGTCAACTTTAAATAGTTAGTTCACCCAAAAATAAAAATTCTGTCATCATTTACTTCCCTTCATGTTGTTCCAAACCCGTTCGACTTTTGTTCGTCTTCTTTTTAATAAAATCTTGGAGATTTCTGGCCCTCCATTAACAGCTACGCAACTACCACTTTCACATTTTCAAAATGTTTATGATCTTATAAAGCAATCATAAAACTAATCCATATGAATTGAGAGGTTTAGTCCTAATTTTCAGAAGAGACTCGATTGCTTTATGATGAACAGATTTAATTTAGGCTTTTATTCATATAAACATTGATCATGGAACATAAACAGAAGCTCATCCCGACCTGCTTGACGCATGAGAACAAACCTCACTGGTTATTGGAAGCTCACATGTGCTGTGTAACACGAGAGTGAACCTCATTGGTTCTTGCAAAAGTTCAAACATGATGCGTAAGACAAGAATTAACCTCATTGGTTCTCACACATCAGTCGAACATGCTTGAGCTTCTGTTTACCACAAGTGATGTGTGTGTTGATGAATATTTATATGTGAATAAAATCCTAAATTAAATCTGTTCAGTGTATACAGATCCTGTCTCTTAATATTTCATATTAAAATATTCATTTGTGTTCCGAAAATGAATGAAAGTCTGGGTTTGGAACGACATGAGGGTGAGTAATGACAGAATTTTGTATCATTTGTATCAGAAATTGTATCATTTGTAGGCCTATCCCTTTAAGTATGTGCATTTATGTTTAAATAAATACACGTCCTCAGGTGAATGCTAAAATAAATCGCATGATAAATCATTGGCTATAAATAATTTGCTTTTGAAAGTTTGAAGCTGAAAGAAAGAAACTGCAGGCTATGGGGTCAATTTGATTTAAAATAAAATCGTAGTGACAGTTATTTTCACAAGCACTAAAACGCAGCAATCCACACAAAGTCGAAATTCAGTTTTCATTTATTTTCGCATAAAGAATCTAAAACTTCAAAAGGAACATAGAAGCAGTAGGCTAGCTACATAAAAAAAGATTTTGATATTTGTGATGATTTCTTGTTGGGTCAAGAAATAGACGTCTCTCTTCAGCTGGATCGTGCATGTGTTCTTCTTTTATGGTAGTCGACTGTCGATCTAATAGACTTGTAGTGTCACCCACTCGTTCTCCTCTGGAAATATCGAGTGAGAGTGAAATGTGAGGAGAAGAGATTGCTGCTGGAGATGTCAGTTCGCCAGAAGAGGGCATTCGGATTCTGTCTGACAAAGTTATGGTGCGACAGGCGGTTGTGGTTAACCACTCACAATCCTGCTGCATCTCTGTACTGTCGGGAACTGTACAGGAGAGGAGAAACATTCCCGATGGAGTGGAGTACACTTCCAAACAATATTCTCTGAGTGCAATAATTTTGGACTGGATTGAAATTCTCTTAAACATCACAATTCTTATTTGTAACAAAATATCCACGGATTAATCTACGGTACGCATCATCATCTCGGGAAAGACAGTGTTTGCGCATTATGCTGCGATGGAATACACTGAGGTGGATGGGGATTGCTGGGATTTCCATAAGTTTGACTTGTGGTAGATAACTTGGATTTGGAATCGCGCGTCTTCGGTTCTGTTTGTGACTTGATGTAAAAATGTTAGGATTTAAAATGGATTCTTTCTGTTCGAGTGGATGTTTATTGTGAACATTTTGTTTTGAGGGGAATTAAAAGATATGGTCAGTGGTCAGTCAGGAGAGACTGAAGATTTCCCGCGTCTGCTCTGCGGTGGAGGACTACAGGCGGGAACGTGCGCGTGTGGAAGAACCGAACCATCTGAAGAGAGCGCGTGCCATGCCGTTTCGGGTCTCGTGCGGTAGAAAGCTGTAAAACCTGTGGCGAGGAGTTTACTGAGACGCGGTGATGGGTAAGTTTGACTATCACTCGGACATAAGTGAACATGAAAACCACGGTAGATGTGTATGGTGATACATTCGGGGGACATTTCCTGCAGTTGAATAATTTTTTCATTGAGATGTGAATTGTCTTCAAACGGTGTCTATGCATTAAAACAAAAGAGACCGCATGTACTCTGATAAGCATAAAAGGTGTATTATACATGCATTCATATGGTGTTGTCTTTAAGACAATTTGTATGCATATTTATTTAGCATATGATAAACATACATATTTCTTCAAGTCAAGTGTACAGTCAAGTGTATCCGTCCATTCATTTATTCGGTGGGCATTTATTCGATGTAAATCGATGTTAATTCAATTTATTCAGATTTGTCGTTTATATATGTTTAAGTGTCTGAAAACTAGAACTGATCTTTGACTTTTTTGTCACAAAAATATTTAAATGATCATTTAGGCTACTACAACAAAAACACATTATGCATTATGATGAATATTTTATTTATTTATGCTTCTACTTGTAATATATTGTCAAAATGCAAAATATGTTTAGAAAATGTATGTATTGCTGTTATTTATGCAAAGCTGTTTGGTGATCTGGTAGCAAATTGATTTCAATCTTTGCTGTGGACTTTAGTGATAAGGTCTAAATGTTAAGCTAGATATTTTTCACTAGAGAATTAATGGTTATATGCAAAGTTTGAGTGTAAACATTAAATTGAATAGCTAATTGTACATATAAACTATGTTGTGCTTTTCAGTTGGGATCCAAACTGTGCCATCCAACCAGACCTGACAACCAATTAAGTTGGAAAGTGTGAATATCTGTAAATATATATATATATATAAATATATTGGTCAACTGATTATCAGCCTATTACTCTTCATCTCTCACTGATTTAAATAGCAGACTGATGCCAACTCATTTTTTAATACGGAATGCTAATTGAACCTCATTTTTGGCAAAAAGGCAATTTCTCAGAGTGTGCCCGTGCATTATTGATAATGTGGAGATCGTACAGCGATAGTTAATATTCTTTCTTAGATTTATGATATTGGAAAAGGTGCATATTATGTGCATGCATTGTCATGTGCACACATGTTTTTCAATGCAAGTGTGCATACAATCCTTGGAAGGCGTTATTTCTTCAAAGAAAGGTGAAGCCACATATTATTACACATATTACACATTTTATTTATTGACAGAAAAGCAAATTGACAGTATGTATTGCATCAGTTAACACTGTGATTTTCGATGCCAATTTGCATTAATTTAGCATTTATTAACAGATGCATTTCACATGCTTACAACATGTATAAATATTTACCAGAGTTATATTTCTTACATGTTTTTCGTGATTTCTACTAAACTCATCTTTATTTAACTAAGCACTGCAATTAACTGTAAGTCACAGACCTTCTCATGGCCACATTAGAGTACTTGATTATGGATGTGCTTTCAATCATTTTACAGGGGCTATTTGACAGATATGTGACCTGCTCTGATTGTTATTCGTTAGCGGCGTGCGGCGAGATGGCCTTCCACAGCTCGTAAAATGATGAGCTATGCTTGCTGCTTTGCGGCACTGTAGTGGGAGATCTTGACAGCAAACATAAAATAACCAACCTGGTAAAATTTTGGAGCATCACTGTGAAGGGTATGTAGGCCTACAGAGGCAAAATCAGTTTTACCAAGAGAAGAAAAAGTGTAGATGCATCTAAAACAAGAAAAGTGGCAGAGCAAGTTTGTTACAAATTAATTTTCATTAGACTTCACTTGGATCATTAACTTTATCAGCATCATTTCATTAGCAAATGTCATTAAGCTGATACAGTCTGATTGTCTGGTTAGTGTGAATGGAAGCCAGTGACGTAATTACTTTATTGTACTGCAGCCTGCTTGTGCATCGGTGGTTGGCAAGTGTACGCTCGTGGACATCAGCACCTCTCTGCTTTGTTTTGGTGATTGTTATTAATCACAATCAGTGGATCCCAAAAATTGTTTGGACACTGAAGCCACGCGCAGAAAATGTATGAATGTCATTGCGTTAAATAAGAAGATATCAAACCAAGTGACATTTTTAGGTACTACATGATAACAATAGATATGGTTTTCAAAAATTAAGACAGTTATTCAGACATTTTCTGGTTGTTAACTAGGTTTAACTGACTTAATACATCCACTAATGATAATCACATCAAGATCAGCAAGATTTTTGAGGCCATGGTATATTATAATCAGGAACAGAAGGTGCATTAATAAAGTTCTTGACCATTTAAATGTTTGGTCCTGATAAGCCGTTAATGCAGTGAAGTACCTTATGAATATTTTCTCCTTTTCAACCTTTGAGAACATCTGGTAGAATTACTTTAACATTGTAGAGATTCATATAAGCCATTTGGTTCCATGCACGTTTCTAAAGGTGTTATTTGGATGGTTTTGCAATAAATTTGCCTTTAAGCTAAATGTATATTTTGATATTTCATATAACCACTTTCATGAATTCTTGTTATGACGATATTAATGTATCATCACCGCATTATTTGTCTCAGAAAGACAGATAATGCCGCAGGAACTTCATTTCAGAATGCTATTTCTAGCCAGCTTTGTAAAAGTTGCATCAGGAATGGAATTGAAACCCTTTTACAGCAACACAGTGTGGGTATGAAGGCCGGAAAGACACAGCACAAATGATAAAATCCCATTACTGGAAAATGTCCAGACTTTAGCCAAGACCTTCACATAAAGAACATGCGTATTTTACCCAGACCTCTAACCTCTTGATCCAATGTTTAGTTGTTAACTCACTGCTGATATAATGCCTCACTTCAACCTCCCATTTCTTTTGACAAGAACAACACCTAGGCTTTCCTTTGTGTATTAAAGAAAGATGGACAAAGGCTGCTAGCAGAGTCACTGAACATCCAGGCAAATTTAACTGATTTGGTTGACTGACAATCATTTAGATTATAATTAGCGACTAATATGATGGCCGAGGCATATCTCTCAGGACATTTCCTTTCATACTGTAGTGGGCTCATGTCCAAGCTTATTGGAAGACAGGCATGTTTGCCATTGCCAGAGAGAAGAATTAAACAACATAGCATGACTGGATTGATTTGCACAATCACCACTGTTAATTGGGTCCTGTGTGGTATGATATTGCTGTATAAATGTAATATTTCAAGGGTTTATAATCACAGAACAATTACAATATTTCTTCTCTCATTAATCGTCTTAATCTCTGCTTTGAAACTGCTCAACAATTAGGGCTGGGTATTGTCAACTACCTCATAATATGATGCACATCACAATGCACATTTCACGATTCAACATGTCGGAATATATCACAGCGTCCTAATAGGATCACGATTGAATCTGCGCCAAACAAGTGAGAGAGATACTTTTTCAGGGTCAGGTAAATCTGCTGTATCTGCTTTAAACTCTCTTGCACTGTTTGCTTTTGAGGTCGGCCAATAGTGGATTTTACCGATACCGATATTTAGGTTTGACCGTGCATGCCGATAACCGATTATTCAACCGATATATTTTTTTTAATGGATACTGGATTAAAAACAAACATAACACTCCAAGTAAAACAGTGCAGAACTGGAATGTTCTCAATTAAATAAATATATAAAATGAATATATTAAAATGAGAAGTTCTAGAATGAACTCTACAGAAAATAATTTAAACATTAAGGTCAAATGTGTGTTTCTTTAGCTATAACCTACAAACATAGCCTATGTAAATTTCATAGGTAACACTTTGCAAGTCTCATTTGTTAACAAGGATGTATTAGCTAGCTTTCATGAACTATATGCATTATGCAATATACGTTACTCCATGTATTATTATTTGAGCAATACAATTGTACCTTGATCATTCATGTTGGTTCATAGTACATTAACTAAGGTAATAACACATACAATTAAAATTAAAACTCAATTTAAAATGTATTAGTAAATGTTGAAATGAACAAACTAACAATGAATAATACTTCTACAACAGTTATTAACCTTAGCTAATGCGAAAAATGTAATCTTATTGTAAAGTGTTACCATTTCATATAAATCAAAAGAGTCGTGCTTAAAGATGGCCACCTTTAAATATCTGCAAAGGCCAGAGCAATTAAATTGCATAAATGTATATTACATGTATAGTCTATCACTTTATTTGCTTCAATATTAGAACACTTGATGGTTATCTAATCAAAATAACAATATGTACTGCAGTGATAAAAAGGAATAGAATCAAATGCGTTTCTGACTTGTTTTTGTTTCTGTCGGCTACATGAACATATCAATGTTGAGAAAGCAATCACATCACTAGCTTTAAATATGCAACTTCGCCGGGTAATGAATGCATAAAATTGACCAGCTGGATATAAACTAATTGTAACAATTGCGACATTAAACATTTGGGTCAGGTTTGCTTGTCACATTGTTTTAATCGCTTGAGGTACTAATGTTAGAGTCCTCACAGCCTCGGCGGCAAACATACTTCTGTTCTTTCTCTGCTAATGCAGCATCTAATCAACAAATTAATTACTTTATAATGATATGGCAATATGTACTTTAGTGTTCTGTATTCATACCATTTCGCTGTAAGTGTTTTAAATGCGCATCTGAAGTGTCAGCGCTCTCCGTGAAGCGTGTTCTCTCTGTGCAGCCTCACGTGTTACAATAAACAACAGGAGGTGCCAGTGATAGTTATTATTCCATCTCTAGAGGCCGCTCTCGCTCTGTGTAATGACAGCGCACCCTTCTCAGTAGCTCCAGCAACGGACGCAACCCAGGAAAAATTATCGGTGTGGATTTTTGCCGATAACGATAGTTTCACCAATTAACTATCGATACCGATATATCGGCAAAACCGATGAATCGGTCAACCTCTAGTTTGCTTCACTTTTGCCCTGTATTTTGTCTAGTATTGTATGTACACATTAAATATAAGTTGAACTCAATAATCCCTTTGTAATGGCATGATTTAGGTGTTATCAAATTATTTAAAATATTTGTATATTCAGAGAGTATGTCGTTTTTTGACTTTTTTTTTCTTTTGCATTTCAGGCTTTGCCATGAGGCACCGCTGGTTCATGGTGCCACTGCTAATGCAGGCATGGCTCTCTGCCACTCCTTGCTTTGGTGAGCGTCCTTGCCCTCGGAGCTGCCGATGTGATGGCAAGATTGTATACTGTGAGTCTAGTGCATTCCGTGATGTTCCCAAGAACCTCTCTGGTGGCTGTCAAGGCCTCTCCCTGCGGTATAACAGCTTGGCAAGCCTAAAGGCTGGACAATTTGTTGGCCTCAACCAGCTAATTTGGCTGTACCTGGACCACAACTACATTGCCAATGTGGATACACGTGCTTTTCAAGGGATACGGAGGCTCAAAGAGCTAATATTGAGCTCCAACAAGATCACAATTCTGCATAACACCACATTTCACCTGGTACCAAACTTGAGAAACCTTGACCTTTCTTACAACAAGCTACAGGCTCTGCAACCAGGGCAGTTCCAGGGTCTACGCAAGCTACTAAGTTTGCACATGCGCTCCAATTCCCTTAAGAATCTTCCCTCTCGCCTTTTTCAGGACTGTCGTAATCTTGAGTTCCTTGACCTTGGCTACAACCGTCTGCGCAGCATTACTCGCAATTCAATGTCTGGCCTGCTGAAGCTAACTGAGCTGCATATTGAGCATAACCAGTTCTCCAAAATCAACTTTTTCAATTTCCCACGCTTCTATAACTTACGTGCTCTTTACCTACAGTGGAACCGCATTAGGACCATGAGTGAAGGCCTTACGTGGACCTGGACATCATTGCAGAAGCTGGACCTTTCAGGAAATGACCTGCAGGAGATAGATGCAGAAGTGTACCGGGCCATGCCGAATCTGCAGACACTTAACCTGGATTCAAACAAGCTTGTCAATGTGTCTCAAGAAGCTGTGGATGCCTGGATCTCTCTGACTGCAATTAGTCTGGCAGGAAATATGTGGGACTGTGGACCAGTTGTGTGTCCGCTAGTGGCCTGGCTGAGAACCTTCCGTGGAAACAAAGAAATTAATATGATTTGCGCATCACCCAAAGAAGTCCAAGGGGAGAAGGTTATGGATGCAGTTGACGCCAATAGAGTTTGCATGATTGCCCCTGCTATGCCATCAACTGTAATTGCTCCCTCTACCCCTTTTGTTGCCTTTGCACAGACCCCAGCCAGCTCTTTTGTCCCGACTCTTAAATCTGGAGACAGCAGAGGGGGCCTGGGGACATCCTTGGAAGGTACCACCTCTTCAGCACCTTCTCAGCCCGCTGTCCCACCACCTGAGCAAGACTTTGAACCAGTATCATTCCACAAGATAGTGGCAGGAAGTGTTGCCCTTTTCCTGTCAGTTGCAATGATCCTCCTGGTAATTTATGTCTCGTGGAAGCGCTATCCAAGCAGTGTAAAGCAGCTGCAGGAAAACTCGGCTGCAGCTCGCAAACGTCGGAAAAAGTCACGGGAGACAGAGCGCACTCTCAGCACACCATTGCAGGAGTACTATGTGGACTACAAGCCTAATAACACAGAGGGCACAGATGTGCTAGTCAATGGTACTGGACCATGCACCTACACCATCTCTGGCTCCAGAGAATGTGAGGTAAGACTCCATACCTCGACTTACAATCCATTGGGTTTGGTGGCAAAAGAGGTCAATTCTTTAGCAGCTTTAAAAAAAGTCCTTGTGTTCTTGTGCTTTTTTGATGCCATTTTTAGAAGATTGTTGTGTGGGAGGGATATGTTTTTGGCAGAGAAATATTTTAGGAGCGACACGTTTTTTAAATGTTTTTGGCACAGTATGCGATTTGTTTAACCTCGGACGAGGTCTTAATTTACAATTACATATTGATTTGTTAGAGCATATTTGAGGAGTCCTGTTAATTCATTTGATTTTTTTCTTTTAGGACCAGTTTTTTTCTGGGCTGTAACATAATGCATGTATACAAGTGTACCTGAAATACCTTCTTCTACCTGGTAGGCATCTACTTGAAGATGATAGGGTGGTTTTAATTATGCTCTCTCTTTTTTTTTTGCTTGTTATTTTATCCCATAAAGATTTGTGATTCTTTGACAAATTCAGCTATAATCACTGGATAACAAACTCCCTCAAAAAGCTGCTGTGTCACAATTATTTATTCGTCCTCATTAAAATATGTGTGTGTGCTTAACTGCTCCAAAGACCAAAATGGAATGGATTTGTCTATGGGAAACTTCAAACACATCCTGTTAGTGAAAAACCTCCTAACCATCTTTCTAATCCTGACTCCTATACACTCATTGGTTCTTTCAACACTGTTTGATCCATGCTCAATGAAACGGCTCTATTTCTATATTTTCTCTCTTTTTTTCATGATCTTCCCGGGGCTATGGAAATGTCTTTAATGACACCCCCATTTTGTCTTCCAAGGGCTCTTTTTGACTTCTTCCATGTGTATCACTTCTTACCTATTTTTTAGCCTCTTATCTTTGCTTCACACTCGTCTTTCTCTCTTGAATCTTCTCTCCCTCATTTTAGATCCCCACCTTTTATACTTCAGCACAACCTGCAGTTCCAATTTACAAAATACTAATTTTCTCAGTGTGTCACCCATAACTCCACTGACATGTGTGTTGGCAGCTCTGGTCAATTGATGCATTTTAAGGAGCTGGTTTTGTGTGTGGTTTGTATGATTCACTATATTTACATATGTTCATGCTTTTCCCAAGGCAACTGTTACCGCTACTCCTTCAGGCTAAGAAACCTGTCAGTAGTGCAGTAAGGTGTCATGAAAGGCAGACCTGCCTCTGGCAGAGCCATGATAGGGCATATGTGCTGTGGCTAGCAAGACAGGCCTGAGTGAAACAAGAAAGGCAGCTAGACGTGCTAGCAGGCCGATTGGCATGATGGTAAACAGGTGATGCCAAATCAAGTCGCAGGAAGAGAATGCTATAAAGGGGAGTGAGAGCACAAAGGCACACAGAATGGCATCCTGACAGTGACGTTGACCGTGTCCGTTCTCTGATCTGTCGCTTTAAAGCGTTTTTGAAGAGATCAGAGGTGCACATCAGAGTCCAGCAGATTGGCATGTTTTTCTCTTGTGATTTCCCCAAGTGAAGGAACAAACTTTTTTTCTCTATTAAGTGCAAATCCCTAAGTCTCTTATAGCATCTTTGCCCTTATGATGATATATCTTGGCAACACAAGAAAGAACAACTGAAAGAAGAAAACAGTTTGTCTGTAGTACACTACCGTACATGTTTTCCATTGTAAAGTAATTATATCCATTTGGTCACTTTTATGCATTCCTTACCCAGCGAAGTTGCACATTTAAAGCTAGTGACGTGAGATAGCAAATTGATATGATCATGCAGCCGACAGGAACATATAAACAAATCAGAATTGCATTCGATTTCAGTTCTTTTTTTATCATCACTGTAATAGCCTACATATTTTGTTATGTATTATTATACATTTGTTATAAAATAAAAGCAAATAATGTGTGAGAAGATGCATACAATATGCTTATGAGTCTAATTTAAATGCTATGGCCTTTGTGTAGATATTTAAAGATAACCATCTTTAAGCATGACTTTTTGGATTTATACGAAATGGTATCTTTTTACAATAAAATTCCATTTCCAACATTAACTAAGGTTAATAAATTCTCTAGAAGTTCCTTGTTAGATTGTTAATTTTAACATTTACTTATACATTTTAAAAATGTTTAAGTTCTATTAATTTTAGTTAATGTTCTATGAACTAACATGAAAGATAAAGGTATAATTATTTTTGTTTATTATAAATATTATTTATATATTTTATATATTTCAATTTTAAATATTTCAAGTACAGTACATTTCAGTACAGTTTTTTTCTTCTTTTTTGTAATAAAGTTCAGCCCTATGTACTTGGAATATTATGCTTGTTTTTATTCAGTATCAATTTGAAAAACTTGGTTATCGGTTTATAAATCAGTTATCGGTCAGTGTGGTCCAACCTACCTTATTGTTATCGGTAAAATATCGATATCCAACATTATCGTTATCGGTAAGATCCACTATCGGTCGAACTCTACTCACTTTGAGATGAATGGAACTGGTAATGGTGCTTTCTAGAGGTATTAAAGACCTCCTTGCTCAGACCTTGATAACTATTGCCTAAATTTAGTGTGACCCGTCCATAATCATCGAAAGGCCTCATGTTGAGGTCACTTAGTTGACCTGTTTCCATAATGTTTTCCATTAATAGTCTATAATTCTGAATTGTTTGCCTCCTTTTTTCCTTCTGCCGTCCTCCATACCACAGCATTGCTGCATCAACACTAATGTGGTTTGGCTTCCCTCCCGTGCAGCAAAGCGCACGTCACCCATGATTGATGAGTTCTATTCTCTCTCCTGCGATTTGGTATTCCACACGCACACCTGATTTACGGGCTTTTCACATCAAGCCAAAAGACTAGATTCAAACACACAGTTCAGATTGCTCCTGTCTTAAAAACCAGTGTTCTTCTCATGCCTTACATCACTTCTGTTGCGAATCACAAATGGCATAAAGGTGTGGAAGAGACTGCTAAGAGGGATTGTCCTCTGACCTTACTCTGAGAGAGGTTCTCCGTTAAACTGTCATGCAATTTGGACATCTTTCATCGTAAAATTTAAAGCCAAGATCTAATGTCTTCTTTGATCGATTTAGATCAACCGAAGGTCTTTATCGTCAGAACTCATAAAGGCTCAACTGTGGATGAAGTACCCATTCTATCCATTTATTTAGGTGATGAACTTTGTTTTACTGAACAGTCACCATGCTATAGCAGGCTAGAACTGCACTATTATTTTTCTTGATATTGTAGTTGTGATTTAGTATTTTTGGTTAATGCAATTACCATTAAAATACTTGAGTGCAGGAATAAGGGTGTCACACTGCCAGGCCCATTGGGGCTATTGTGCATGTATGTACGTATACTTAGGCGCTAAAATCGTCAAGCCTGTGTTTGAAGGCCCCTCATTTAATATTAATTATTTTTAGTTGTGAGCAATTAGGCCAGTACCATCACATTTTGTCGTATTCTACATTATGTTGCTGTCACATTTGCATTAAAAGCTTAACCTGTCAGCCCGTGATGCGTTTCGTGGTTTTAAAAGTACTCTAATTGCTTTTGTAGAAAAAAAAAACAAAAAAGAAAAAAAACTTTGCTTCCGTGTAACAGTGCAAGGCCTACAACAAGGGCATTAATCATCATTAGACTCAACAAATTTTTGTTAACAAATTGGTGTTGAACAGTACCTTTGACCCTTGGAAATAATGAAAATGGACTAATCCCCCCCCCCCCCCCCCCCCCCCCCCCCCATACAGACAAAAGTGCCTGCTGGAGATTAACGTTCAGACCACAAATCTAGTTAGCAGTTCAGAATGGGCTCATGAATTAAAAACTAGAAACTATACTAAACTATGGAGAGAAAGGTGAAGTAGAAAAAAATGCACACATGTTTTGTTTGCCATGTTTTTGGCATGTGGTCTAGTATTTAAAAATGGTATAATGTATACAGCTCCCTGTGTTAATAAGAAAACTGATTCAAGTGGGTTTAACTAATTTCTTTGCATGTTAAAGTAAACTGCCTACACATTTTCTAAATTAATCTCATGTATATCAAAGCACATGTTAAAAATTCATTATTTTCTTTTAAAAATCCTCTTATCTATTTTTTTTCTCTTAATCTCCATGTTTTTATTTGAAAAGGAAATTCGACTTGTACCCCTTGACATGAGGCTTTTTTTTTTTTTGCTAACATGGGATAAGTTTGGACCATACACACACACACACACACACACACACACACACACACACACACACACACACACACACACACACACACACACACACACACACACACACACACACACACACACTTCTCTCTCTCTCTCTCTCTCTCTCTCTTTTAAAGTCAAATTGCTCTGTCTGTTTCTATTATAGATGCATCTTCTAATTTCAGTTGATACCACACATCCTGAAATATAATCAGGAGTATTAATTGCACCTTTTCTCTTTGAGTAGAGAACAGTTTAAAGGCCCACTGAAGTGCCTTGAAACGTGCAGCATTATTCAGTGTGTTGACGTAATTTCCACTGAAAAAGGAAGACAGGGGGGAACATATTGAGCAGATACTCCCCTTTTTTCAAATAGTCAATAGCATTTCATTTAAATCAGAGCTCTGCCGGAGCCGTTGAGTTTGGCAAAGCCACATTTGACTGCTTATGGCAGCCACAGTCTAATAGATTCCCTTTTAAGATGAAACTGTTACTAAAGCAAAACAATGAACAAAATCATGCTGAGGATGTGTAGTTTGAAAAGTAAGTTATGTTGGGGCATGGCACCGGTGTTATCTCTTCTACTCGTCAGTGCTGTTTCTAATGCTGAGTCTGTCTAACCGTTTCTCCTCCTAATCTCCTTCATTTTGTGCAGAATTCAAATGGGTCCGATACGTTTTGTGGCCGACTTGCACAAATGATCCGCTCTGTGCTATCGTGTCTCTGAACCGGAGCCTGTGTGCGCGCAGCGGCGGTTCGCGTGACACTAACAAAAATCCAGACTTCACCCCAATAGAAAGCATATTTACACAGGC